TTTTTTGTCATTAACTTCGTGTAAATGGGTTTATTTGGTGTACATAATTCAGTAACTAGGAGTAAGCACTCGCTTCCTACATGGTGTATGCTACACCGAACTGAGTACCAACCGTTGTTTATGGCGGTGTGTATGCGGTTGGAGCAAGTGGCCAGTGCGGTTTTACTCAACATGGATGGCAGAATAATCTCCGGATCGCTCCACCACCTCCTTCAACAGAGGCATAGCGGTCCTATATGACTCATTGTTGTCGACATGGATGGCAGTATTTTGGGACGGAGGGAGTAGCAGAGAACATTTGGTCATGGGTATGGTAAAGAAATGACATTTCTTCTGTTCAATTGTTGTACAGAGCCGAGATGAACACAAGGTATTGTGTGGTAGCTGGACTATCTAGTTCATCTAATGGGGAAGAAAAATGTAAAAGGCAACGAAAGCTTAGGGTACAATCCAAGTTAAGAGTATTTTGGTGCAGAGTAATTAAAAACATCCTACCTTCATATGCATAACTAAAAAGGCATGTGATGGGGTTATGTGTGTGCCCTATGTGTGGCCTTGGTGAGGAAATGTTACTTCATATGCCCTTGTCACACGTGAGCATGCAAGTTTATTCTTGGATTCTTCTTGAGAATATTTTGACATAAAACTCCCAAGGTTGCACCCGAAAACATGGTCAAGAGATATCTTCGATCCATATTTCCTTGATGCAAGGAAGAGCACTATTAATGCTTCAGTTATGTGGCAGATTTGGAGTAGCTGCAATGAAGATACTCATGTTGAGGAGAAGTACAAGCCACAAAAATCAATGTAAGTGACTGATGAATTGAATGCTTCTTTGGAAATAATTGATCAAGGGCAAGCCAAGGATGTGGATAGTCCTCACTATCAATGCTCAATTTGAAAGTCCAAGAAAATACTTTAATTAAATTCAAGTTTCAGATTCATTTTGTTATCTTTAGATTAATGCACATAAACATCTAACTAATGCTTAATATATATAATTAGGGGTGAACTTGTGAACGGGCACATGAATGGAACTCAAACAAACAATCATATGCAGACAAGACATGTGTTTGTCTTTTATTTCCAAGTTTGAAATAGTCTAGTTCGGGTTCTTACATGATAGTGCATGTCACTTTATTTTTCACCGCTACAACGACCAAACCATGTTTTAAGAAAACGGTGTTTCATATATCTAGTAATAGAGTTCTTCTCTTCTCAGTTAGTACTCATGATGCCAAATGGCGCAATGGTGGTCGAGCAATATGGAGGGATGTAGACATTGCACATTGCTGGTAGCGTCTGCAGCGCTAGGTTCCTTATTTCCTCGAACTGCGGCAGTTGCTGAGGTTGGACAAAGCCCTGGGCCTGTGGGTTTTGCTGAGATGGCTGGAAGAAGCCCTGGCCTGATGGATATTGTTGCTGAGGCTGCTGGTAGGAGACCTGGCTCGACGGTTGTTGTTGTTGTTGTTGTTGTTGTTGTTGTTGTTGTTGTTGTTGTTGATGCAAAATAATAGCATGAATGACATTGTGGATGGCTTGGCACCGTGACTGCTCGGGGGTCTGCCACAGTTGCTGACAACATAATTGTTGCAACAGTTGGTAACTTTGTTGCGATACTTTTGAGCTTGCATGTGCTATATTGGGTTGTTGCAAGACGACATCCCTGCATGGAATCAGTTGTTGTTGCAGAATTTGTTGAAGGATTTGTTGTTGTTGTTGTTGTTGTTGTTGTTGTTGTTGTTGTAGTTGTGCTTGTTGCTGCGAAATTGGTTGTTGTGGTTGCGGATATTGTGGTTGTGGTTGTGGATATGATTGTTGTGGTGGAAATGGTTGCGGCTGCGGATATGGTAGTTGTGGCAGAAATGGTTGCGGCTGCGGATATGGCTGTTGTGGTGGAAATGGTTGTTGTTGCCCTGGAAATTGTTGTTGTTGCTGCCCTAGAAATTGTTGTTGTTGCACCAATGGAACTTGCTCTTGTGGTTGTTGCTGAGATGGATTTTGTGGCTGCAATTGTGGCACTGGAACTCTAACTGCAGTTGTGGTGGTGGTCGCCACGATAGCAAGGAGGGCAAGGATGAGAAAGGTCTTCATGGTGGATTTGTATTGACCACTGCTTGCTTGGCTTGAATGATGCACTCTACTTATGAGAATGATGGATGAGGAAGGATGATCATCATGCTACAGGCCTATTTATAGCTGCCATGGCATCATCTCCTTCACAATTGGCATTTGCTTGTCTGGAAAGTGCTTGGATGCTTCCTAAAATCATAATTTGGTATGTTGTGTTTGGTGGCACTATCATTCCACCACCAAAAAGTTGTGATAACACACATGACTCATCTTATTCACTTTACAACTCAAACACTAATCTAGATTGCCTAATTTTTTGAAACTAAATTTGTAATGTTTTGCAAGTTGTTATGTGTAAACTAGATAAGCATTGCTTGCGTAGAACTTAGTTTGTAATCTTGTGTGACCTGTTAAGATAGATGAGACTAGTAATGTAACTTGATTTACTAGGTCATGACTCATCAAATTCTTTTTACATGTCAAGTGTTTTAGCTTTCTAGAAGTTATTAGCAAACATCAATTGTGTAATGTTCTACAAGTTGTTACGTGTAAACTAGATAAGCTTGACTTGCACACAAAAAGGATTGTAATCATGTGTGACCTGTTAAGATAGATTAGAGTAGTAATAAAGATTGCTTTGATAGACCATGACTCATCAAATTGCTTTTACTTATCTTAACTGTTGTATATGTTGTACAAGTTATTAACACTTATCACCTTGGTATGGCTTCCAATGTGTGTGCATGCCAAGGTATGTGTAGCTTCTATTCGTTTGTAGATCTTATTTTGTTTTACGCGAAATCATGCAAATGATCATCTATGGTAACGCTTGCGAGTGCAGTTGCAACAATGTTGGCAGGGTAGGAGGGCGGCTGTGGGATGGCATGAGTTCTTGTAACAACCTATAGTTCATTATGGTTTTTTTGGTGGTACCTACAGTTCATTATGTTTGGAAAGATATGTGTTCTGTTTTTCATGGGCGCTAAAAAACTTATGTTTTAAAATTTGCAAACTGGCCCTGTCTGTTCTATGGGCTGCTACTGGTGGCCAATTTGAAGACATGTGGTGCATTGGGCCTAGACGCTGCAGAGAGCCCAACTAGGCTCGCTCAGAAGGAAAAAAAACTCCCATGGATCACTCCCTTGACGACCTCCTTCCTCCCTCGAGAACTGGGCACGCTGCACACCCACTCCTCAACATGCACCACTACACCTCCCTTGCCCTCCCCTCACGCGTCGCCGCTGCCAACCACCTTGTCTTCCTCATGCCGCCTCACTACCGGCGTCCTCCCGTATCCTCTCCCCAAAGCCGTCGACTTCATCTCTCACCATCTCTTCCCCTTCTCATCAGAAGAGAAGAGGGAGATTTTTTTTTCTCAAATACAGAAGAGGGAGATCGACCAGGTCTGGCGCCGGCCATGGCAGCGGCCACATCTGCCACAGGCGCAGCCACCTCGCCGAATAGAAGATTGGATAGATAGATAGATTAAGACTAGGCATAACACTTAGGTTACACCATATCTAGCTAAAATTTACTGTAACCAGAATCAACAGCGAGCAGGATTGAAGATTGAAACAAACTTGCACCTTGAGCAATGGCGCCGGCGTGCTCCCTAGCTCCAGGAGTCTCCCTCCCAGCACACCAGCTCCCCTTGCCTTCACCTTCTACGCGCTCTGTTTTGACTGCAGGCTGCGGCACGTACCGTGCACACGGGGGCGAACCATCGAGCCGTGGCCGCTGCGAGGACGGTCTCACTGGGCGCCGCCAGGAGGATGCTCGGTTCAGCCATGTGTGGTGGTGCATGCAAAAAACGAGTGATCGATCAGGTCGATCCATAGAGCGTCCACGGACAAACTCTTACATGCTTGTTGCTTCTTCTCCAGATACGGCGGCGGCTAGGTGGCGTCCTTGCGGGCAGTGGAGGCGGTGCTGGGCGTGCCACCGCTGTGCTCGTGCGCCTATGAGCTGCAGATGGCCAGCCAACGCTACCT